GGCAGGCACACACTCTAGCACTGAGCTACATGACCATGCTCAGGAGGCTGAAGCAAGAGGTTCACCTAAAATCTGAGGACAGCCTGAGCTACATAGTGAGTTCAAGACCAGCCTGCAGTACAGACTATTTCAAAAGAACAAAAACAAAAACAAAAAGGCTCAAAAACCATCTTTGTGAGTCAGAAAACAATCTTTTTGGATAAATCAAAATCAAACTTGTTCTCAAAAGGATTTTTAGAACATTCTGAGATGGAAAAATACTTTATTAGCCCCCATCACTCTTACTCAGAGCTGAGATATACACAGAATAAATCATTTCTTCAGTCACTTTTTATGTAGTTCTCTGATCATTTATTCATCTAACAAATATTCATGGAACACCTGATAAGAGTGAAGCATTATTTGAGTCAGACCCAATCAATGCAATGTAACTTTTATTATGTGGAATTTTTTTTTCCCAGTACCAGGGATCACACTCAGGACTTTGTGCTTGCAAGGCAGATGCAACGCCATTGAGCTAAACCCCTGCCTCCCCCCACCCCCTTTAGCCCACGCTGGCCTGGAACTCAAGACAATTCTCCTGCCTCAGCCTCCCAAGTACTGGAATTACAGTTGTGAGCCACCACCTACAGCTAGTTTGTGTTCTGATAGTTTTAATCCTTCACTTTATAAGTATTCATAAATATATTAAACAATGGGAATTAGGGCATTATACACATTTTTATAAGTACAATCATGGAAACCAGAGCTGTGTGCTTGTTGGATTTTTTTTTAAACATTAAACCACTCAGTATAAATATAAATACCAGTTTCCAGCCCCCCTCCAAAGGAGTGGTGAGAATCCATAAGCAACTTTGGTTTTATTTTAGTATTTCTCAGTGCCCCACACTTAGCTAGTTTCACTCAGTTTTGCTGGGGTGTCTTCTGGTCTCCAGCCTTTGACTGTAGTACTCTTTGATTTTAATTTGTTTATTCAAAAGTCCCTCTATATGAGATTTCTACTTGTTTGTTTTTGTAATTCTGGGTTCTGTGTGAGTTTTGAGTCTTCTGGTCTTCTCTCCATAGCTATATATCTATACCTACAGATCTATATATGCTTTCCTTTCCATTTCAGAATTCAGATCACACAATCTACCCCATTTCTAGCTTTTATTTATTTTCAGTTTTTTGGTTTTTGTTTGTTTTTCATACCAGGGATCAAACTCGGGTCCCTGCACTTGCGAGGAAGGTGGCGGAACCAATGAGCTAAATCCCCAGCCCTATTTTCAGTTTTTTTAGGCAAAGTCTCACTATGTATTCCAGCTGGCTTTCTGCTCAGGCTCCCAAGCACTGGGGATTACAGGGGTGCAGCACTATGCCCTGCTCTAGCTCTTATGCTTCCAAGTCAACATATATATCTGTAATTTTTTTTTTTTCTGGTACCGGGGATCGAACTTGGATCTTTGTGCTTGCAAGGCACGCAATGGAACCACTGAGCTAAATCCCCAGCACTGTAACTTTCTTTCAATGGCTACATACTATTTCCTACAGTAATAGAAATATCAGTAGTTTGGCAATGGGTATTTACTTTGTTTCCAGCTTTTTGCCACTAGAAACAGTGCTGCCATATGATGCTACCGCACTTTTATAGGAAACAGATTTAAGGGTGGAGCTGATGGGTCTTTAAAATTATATTAGAAGATACAAGGCCAGTCCCAAGACAAGACAAAAATTCAAATTTCCATGCAGTGAGAACTTAAAAAGATGAGAGGCCAGGTGTGGTGGCACACGCCTGTAATTCCAACACTCAGGAGGCTGAGGCAAGAGGATCACTGAGTTCGAGACCAGCCTGGGCTACACAGTGAGTTCCAAGTCAGTCTCAACTACATAGTGAGACCCTGTCTCAAAAAACAAAACAAAAAAAGAACTTAAAAAGATGAAACTACTATAATACCACAAGTAATAAATTTGACAACAATGAAGTAATTAGTTAACTTCAGGCTTAAATATTAAAGTCATATAACAGGGCTGGGGATTTAGCTCAGTGGTTTTGCCACCTGACTTGCAAGCACAAGGACCCAAGTTCAATCCCCAGTACCAAAACAAATAAACAAAAGAAAACAAAAAAAAAAGTGAATAAGTAAAGTCATATAACAATAAAAGCAAATAAACCGGGATTTAGCTCAGTGGTTCCCCTGCCAGCTTCGCAAGCTCAAGGACACGAGTTCAATCCCTGATACCAAAAAACAAACAAACAAACAAAAAAAATAAAAGCAAATGAGACAACAGAAATTAGATCCAATAAGATTATATATGTATACCTCAAAAAACTACTACTGTCAAAAGTTAAAAATAGAACACATGCTATGAAACTAGAGATATGGCCAACTGATATAAAATCAATATTTTAAAGATACCTGCACTTCATGTTTTTTGGAGCACTATCCACAATACCAAGATGTGCAATCCATGCAGGTGTCCAACGATGGATAAACAGATGGGTGAGAAAATGTGGTATGTACAAACAGCAGAATATTATTCAGCCAGAAAAATGAAAGAAATCCTGTCATTCACAGCATGGATGGAAATGGAAGGCATTATGCTAAGTGAAATAAGTCAGGCACAGAAATACAAACTTTGTATATTCTTCTTGCTCCTATATAGAACCTTAAAAAGTTGCATTCCTGGAAGCAGAGAGAATGGTGATCACTAGAGATTGTTAGGAAGAGTAGAAGAGAAGGAGGCTAGAGAGAAGCTAGATAACAAGTGCCTTAATACAGCTAGAAGGAATGAATTCTAATATTCTACAGCATAGTAGGATTACTGTAGTTAACAATTTATTATGTATTTTATACAGAACTAGAAAACCTGGGCACAATGCCACATGCTTGTAATTCCAGCACTCTGGGAGACTGAGCTAAAAGGATCACAAGTTCAAGCCCAGCCTGGACAACTCTGGAACTTAGCAAGACTCTGTCTCAAAATAAAAAAATAAAAGAGCTGAAGATGTAGCTCCGGGCAAAGGCCCGCCGGGGATTTAGCTCAGTGGTTTCGCAGCCCTACTCCCTAGAGGAAGTGGAAGGTACCGAATTCAATCCCCGGTACCAAAAAAAAAAAAAAAGGTGCGGGGGGGGTACTTCGAAGGTTCCCAACCACAATGACAAAAATGTAACGAAATGAAACGCTAATCATCCTGATTTCATTATTATGCACTGTATCCGTGTATCACACTGTACGCCATAATGTGTACAATTACATGTCTTGGGGGGCAATACTGAGGATTGAACCCAGGGACTTCACACTGAGCTACTGCGTATCTCCAGCCCTTATTTCATTTTTTGAGACACAGTCTCGCGAAATCGCTAAATTGCGCAGGCTGGGCTCGAATTTGCGATCTTCCGGCCTCAGGCTCCCTCAGTGCTAGGAGGGCAGGGTTGCGCCATTGCCCTCAGGTATGATATATCCATTTTTTAAAAATGTAAACACCCCGTACTCGCATCGGCAGCGCATATACTAAAAACACTCCTGAGTCGGCCCGAGTTCCTCTGGGATCCTTTGTAACAGAAGGTCCGTGGAGCTCATCAAGCCCTCACTCAGACCAGCTGAGCTCCCAAAAGAACCCGCACAGGAACGCAGGCACTGCTCCGGGCGGTGTCCCCTCAAAGTCCTAATCCAGGATTACCAGACTTCTCCCTGTCTGTGGCAGAGCTTCCCTTCCAAGCCCGAAGAGTAGGACCAGACGGGGATGGGAGAGAACTGCTTCCGGGACGAACCTCCTTCCCGCGCGCGGAGCGACCTGATTCTAGAACGCGACCCCGAGAGGTCTCGCGGCCCGACCACGCCCGTCACGCCCTGCAGGAGGCTGCCACACTAAAGAATCCCCCAGCTCACCGACTCTAGTCTCTCCTCTGCCATCTCGACTCCGCCCACCACGCACAACCGGAAGTTATCGTTGCCTGGACAACAGTCAAACGGAAATCGGGGGACTAGAAAGCGCGGGGAGGAGCTTACGCAGGGCAGGAAATAAATCGCCAAGCGGAAGGAAACGGGGCGGCCCACTGACTTCCGGAATGGAAACGCAGCCTCGCCACTGACTGGGTATCCGATTTGACACAGCACGGTACTTTTCCTCTTCTCACTCCGAGCTGCTTTTATCCTCCTTCCGGGAATCTTGTTTTGAATTGGAAGTAAAGCCGGGAGATTTCAGAAGAAATCTGGCCTCAGGATGAAGAACCACCAAGCATTGGGCCTACCTTACTGCATGTAGTATAGGAAATCTAGACAGCGATTGGGACCAAAGATAATAAACGCGTCTTCGCCTCGGTCCACCGTCCTAACCACCCAGCCTACTTCAGGTGTTTGACCTTACTCGTCAGGCAGGTCAATGAATGCTCATTCTGTCCACTGGAAAAACGTGTGGGCTTTAGAATCAAACATGATTTCCGATCTTGACATTGCATGACCTAAACCACGTCATTTCTCTGAGCCTCATTCTGGCGCCCAGAACTACAGAATGAACAAAGCAGACCGGATATCTGAACAACTTTGAAGAGCCAGTCAGTCATTAAATGACAAGCAAAGTTTATGAAGAAACAGTTCACTAAATACAAATGGCTCTTAAACATATAAAAGTAAAACTGCAAGAAAGAAAAAAACTTGCACATCCATATTTGCAGGAGATATTTTCCATCTCTTAGATTGGCAAAAAACGAAAACTTTCCCAGATACAATTGTAATTGGAAATGCAATCTTCACATCAGTAGTGTGAATGTGACTCGGTAAAGCTCCATTAAAAGCAGTTTGGTAATAACTCCCAAATTAAAAATGCACATAACTTTGCTGAGCATGGTGGCTCAGCCAAAAGGCTGAGGCAGGAGGATCACCTCAAGCTGAGGTCAACCTGAACACAGCGAGACCCTGTCTCCAAAAAAAAAAGCACATAACCTTTAGCTCAATTATTCCAATTATAAGAATTTATTCTATAGATATAAATATGGGAGATTGCTTAACATACACAGATGTTCAACGCAGCATTGTTGGTAATAAACCAAAGCCTGAAAACAACCTAAAGACTCAATAATAGTCAAATTATGCCAAGTTGATTCTATATGACACATGAAAAATAGAGACAACTATTTACAAGTTGATAAGAATTGCTAGGATACATAACAGCAGAAATTATGTTTATGTTAATTTAAATTAATGTTAATTTAAAAAGGCAAAATAACGTACATGATTGTGTACTTAAAGTATTTCTGGAAAGCAAAACACTAAAAGTGGTTACTTTGAAGAGAAAAACTAGGTATCGTGTAAAAAGACTTAATACCTTTTGTACAATTTGAATTTTATATTATGTGGATGTATTACCTGTTCCAAAAAAATAAAAAGTATAACATAACAGTATTATTAGAATTAGTGGTAAATGCTAAGAAGGCGAAACATTGGTTAAGAGCAAACAACAGGGGAATCCAATCTAGACTTGATTGACTAGGGAAGTCTCCCTGCTTAAGAGATACCGAAAATGAGACCTGAAAGATCACTGCTGGCTTGGGGAAGGGGATGAAGAAGTGTGCGGGCCAGGAAGGAATTCTAAGGCAAGGGAAAAAGGGGTGCACAAGCCCTGACGATGGAAGAAGCTTGGCCCCTGTGCAACCCAGAAAGACAAGTTTGGTGGAAAAAGAGGAAGGCTTGTTGGCTGGAGGTCAAGAAATAGGAATCTAGTGGTACAGATCCATCAGAGGGGTTTTAAGGGCATTTGGGAAGGCACTAGAGAGTTTTTGAACAAGCAACAGCATGGTCATAATGAACATTTAAAGACTTCATGTTAGCTACAGAACAGAATTGGAAGTCCAGGGATTTAGCTCTGGCACCACACCGGCCTCACAAGTGCAAGGTCCTGAGTCCTGAGTTCAATCCCTGGTAAAAAACAAACAAAAACCACACTTTGAAAATTAGCAGAATGAATTGGGATAATGGCAAGAACTGGTCCTTTTTTTTTTTTTTTTTTCCTTGAGACAGAGTTTCACTATGTATGTAGCTCAGGCTGGCCTCGGCCTCCTGCATGCTGGGATTACAGGAGTGCACTACCACATGTGGCCTAAGAATTAATGTAGGGGGGACTAAAGAACACTGCAAACACAAAGAAAGGAAACCATTTACCTAGACCAGAAAGACAGCAAAAGAAATGGAGAAAAAGTGAATGGATTTTCAAAAAATTTAGGCAAGGACCAGGGATTTAGCTCCATGGTGCCATGCCTGCTTCACAGGTGCAAGGTCCTGAATTCAGTCCCCAGTACCACAAAAAAAAAAAAAAGAAAGAAAAGAAAGAAATTTAGGCAAAAGCACAAACCATATGTATTACAGAATTGGATTTGGAAGGATGCAGAAAGTGAGGCATCTGTCAAAAGAATATGGCCAGGCTTTTCACTTGAAAAACAACAGGCAATGGTACAACCCCTTACTGAACTGGGAAGCCTTAGGGAAGAAAGACTTGCTTCTGATAGGAAAATCATATTCTGTATTCAGTACAAAAAACCATGATGCGGAATCTCTCCTTTGATACTGCATCTTCAGAAGAAGTTAAAGCACTTACTATGCAAAGGTCTTTTTCATAAGAAAGTACATGTTTTCTCAAATTGCAACCTCCAGACTTACTATGCTTAGTTCAGATTAGAAAAAATCCCCAAACAAAAGCTTGACAAGAAAGTCCTAGAAATGGCACAGAACATGTTTCTCATGTCACACGTGAGCCTTCGTTTTCTTTAGAAAACCTTGAATGTGACACATCTCAGGTTGCTTCAAACCATAGTTATACAAGAAGGTGTTCCAAACAGTATATATTTATTTATTTTTATGATGGGAATTGAGGCAGGAGAGGAATTGGTATCATTAACTTTTGTTGTTTTTTTTTTGAGACAGTATCTTGCTATGTAGTTTAACCTGGCCTTGAACTCACTACGTAGCTCAGGCTGACCTGGAACTGGTGGCAATCCTCCTGCCTCAGCCTCACCAGTGCTGGGATTACAGGCGTGTGCCACCACACCCAGTTCACCTCAGTAACTTTTAAATATCTCCAATAATAGGTTAAAGAAGGATCTGCAATCAAGTTTTTCCAACTTCAGGTTTAACTGCATCATTCAGACTTTGTGAGGGTCCATAGCCAACTTGGTTAGGATGCCACCTTCTGAACAAATCTGCCCCACCTGCCCTTTCAGTGTGTCCATCCACACTCCCCCCACATCCACACTACAAACTCTGAGGCCAGGCAGAACTATAGGAAACACCACTTTACAATAATATGAAAGCTGGATGTGGTGTGCACACCTGTGATCCCAGCACCAGGGAGGGTGATGCAGGAGGATCACTGCCAGTTTGAGGCCAGCCTGGGCTACACAGTTCAAAGTCAGCCTGAACACTACATAGTGAGACTGTGTTTTAAAATAATATAAAGTATTCATATTATTCTCAAGCCTTCATGGAGTATTTTAAAGATACTCATTCCTGATACAATCCATATACAGAGGCCAATGGTGAGTGTGGGTAAAGGTATATATACTACTTTCTGAGGAAAATTCTGGAAATTATCACTGAGGACCATTTATTTAAACAAAAGCCTATTCATACTAAGATGTATTGTGTATTTTTTTAATGTCTTCAAGTGGTAAAACTCAAAAAAAAGTATACTTCCACTTGATATAAAAAAGACATTTACAGGGCTGGGGACTTATCTCAGTGGTTCTGGCGCCTGCTTCACAGGTGCAAGGGCCTGAGTTCGATCTCCAGTACCATAAAAAAGAGAAAATATTGGGCTGGGGATTTAGCTCAGTGGTTCCATTGCCTACCTTGCAAGCGCAAGGACCCGAGTTTGGTCCCCGGTACAAAAAAAAAAAGATATTTACAGATTTCACAGAAGGTATCACAAGAAATTAGTAAAATACTTGTCTCTGTGGCATTAACAGAAGTACTACAGAATCCTCAGGGATGGGAAGATGTTGCTTTTCATTATTTACAATTCTGTAAAATTTAATTTGTGGATTTTTTTAATTTTAAAAAGTAGTAAAATATTTATATAAGACCCTTTTTTTAAACCTCCAGTTCTTGGATTTGTGTGTAGAAAATCATGAGAGAGTATAGCTCCCACTCTGGCAACTAACAACAAAAAGGTGTTTAGCTACAAAATAAAAACAATATTTCTAACTAATCAGAAGAAAACTGAGGACACAAACTAAATTAAATTGGGGATATGCCACGTCCTTTCTAGGAGAGAGACCAGTGGCTGTTCATATTTCTAGTGACTTATACTGGAAAGAGGAACCCACCAGCCAGGGAGTAGGGGCACCTGCTGAAATGTAACAATTTCTACAGCCCCATAGAGGCTGGCCTGACAATAGTATCTGGAGGACCCAAATCCACCCACCTTACTTCTTGGATCTTAACCAAGTACAGAGCTGCAGTACACTAAATTGGGAGCTAAGTGGATTCAAGAAAGCTGAGCTGGGTGTGGTGGCACATGGCTGTAATCCCAGCACTCAGGAGGCTGAGATAGGAGGATCGCTTTGAGTTTGAGACCAGCCTGGGCTACACAGTGAATTCCAGGTCAGTCTCAACTACATAGTGAGACCTTGTCTCAAAAAAAAAAAAAAAAAAAAAAAAGAAAGAAAGAAAGAAAGCAAGCAAGCAAGCAGAGATCCATTCACCACCAAGGTGAATACCAAAATAAGGGCAAAATACCTTTTAAAGGTGGTGGTCGTGGTAGTTCATGCCTGTAATCCCAGCACTTGAGAGGCAGAGGCAGAGTTGCCAGGAGTTTGAGGCTTGCCTGGGCTATCTAGTGAGTTCAGGGCCAGCCTGAACTACAAAGCCAGATTCTATCTAAAAAACCCAAAACCACAACAAAACAAAACACCTTGTAAAAGTGAGGGGTGCATAGTGGTGCATGCCTATAATTAAACACTTGAGGGTCTGAGGCAGGAAGAACACTGAATTTGAGACCAGTCTAGCTATATATTGAGTTCAAGACTAGCTTGAACTATGTAGCAAGACCCTGTCTCAAAAAGAAAAAAAAAAAAGTGCTCAACATACCTAAGAACAGAGAAATACATTGCTTCACCCCCCCGCCCATCCTGGCAAACAAAAATCCCCTGACAGCCAGGCCGTAAATCCGGGAGACACCAACATTCCCAAAAGCTGGTGGCTTGGCTCAA